ACTGCTTGCGCACAGCAAAGATCTGAAATCACAAATTCAAAGTTAGTAAAAGTTTACTTGGTGATAGCTTATTTTCGGCGCTAATCTCGCAGCCAATAAAGCCCCCACTAACTTAGCTAGAATACTGAGTTTTGTAATGCCCGCATAATTGTTCATGTTGTCTCTAGAACAATTCTTGTACAAGGAAATGATAAAACTTCTCTTCCATGCTAAGGGAAAGTAACCAACCTTAAGACAGTTGTTAATAACTAAACTGAACTTAAAAGTGTATAATGCAGAAAAATTTCTAATTCAGATAGCGTAATGAATGCAAAAATGTCGAATGGCTTAATATGATAAGAATATACATAAGATTTCCATTTTTCATACTATATCTGTAAGTTGCAAAACATTTATTTTATTATAGGAAGTACTAAGAATAAATACATTCCAATGAAACTTTCTTACTTGTAAACCTTTTAACGTTATGGAGACATGACTCAGCCCAAGCTATTCTGACTATGGGCGACAGAGGCAATACTGGACGACTCACTAAGCTTCGTTGTACTTATAACATTTGCGAGGTCATTGTCGGGTGAATATAGGGCGATGGGCTTCTTGTCGACGTTTCTTAAATTTTTTGTTAGTTGCAAAAATGCTTCTATCTATGTATATTGCCCATATACAACCAGTTTGAGAACAATTTCATTATATTACCGTTTTTTTTGGCTGATTTATCTAAGTTAGCTGCATTTGCAGGGTTTTTTTTTTGGGCATTTCATAGTTCAGTCTGGTGCTTACTATTTTTTTAGTTCTTTGCGTGCACAGTCCGTGGTAGTATCTGATAAAACTTCGTTACTGAAGTTGTAATGCAGCAGAGACTAATATTCGTAATTATCTAATCCAAATCAAACATTTTTGTGTAACGGAATGATATAACAACGTATATTAGTAAAGTTAAAACGTCATACGGTCGAAAATTCTAACGGAAGAACATACGTTTCATTGTAAAGCCCGTTAGTTCGGTACTAATGAGGCGTGGGGAAGGGTGGTTCATCTTTAATCCAAAAAATGCTCCACAGATGGTAACACTCAAGAAATATACGCGAAGAAAACCTTATGGAGACAGATGGACGATTGAAACCTTCTTTTCGGATGGGCTGATGTCATGCCTTGAGCTATTGTACACTACGCCCTACCTTCTTCACAATGCGCTACCTTGAGTGTCCTTTGGCCTATAATTTTTTGTAGGAAACGCCATTCGTACGTTAATCATTTATAACGCGTAGAGAAAATCAGCGAAAGTTATATAGAACTACTTGCGTGCTATTTACAGGTAGCTCCTGTTGGTTTGCCAATTCTTAACGAGAGTGTCTACTACGTTTTCCACACTTGAAAAATTTTTTAAAAAAAAGATTTAAAAAACTATGGCCATAACATAAACCATCTGTCCAATATCTGAGGGTCGCCTTTATCTACTGACAAACTTTGTGGAGCTGATCGATATTATTGACGAATTGTAGAGGTATAAATGTTTTCTATAGAGTCCGTTGTCGGAAGTTTGCGATATTTCCTCCGCAAGATATTCTTCCAAACGATTAATCAATTCTTTTTTACTGCCACAAGTAAAAAAATCACCGGGTTTACATTTTTTACCATGTCAAATTTCGTACTGTGTATATTTATATTTTATTTCTCTTCTTTGAAATTCATGCGAGTAACACGTCAACACCTGGTAATCCCATCTCTGAAAAATTTATATTCGAATTTTACTGTGACTTTACTTGAATGACTTTCATTCAAACTCTTCTTGTTATATCGGTTAGAAAGAATACGTGGCATTTGGTTTTAAGATTACTATACTACGAGATGCATACTACACTAAAAAATAATTTCTATTATAAGTCTCATAACTAAGGGGTTGAGTAAAGTAAAAAATGAACTTGGTCGGCACACCCAATACCTCTGCTTTATCCAATCCTCTAAATTAGACAACGTCGTGGTAAGTGTTTACAGTGCGAACATAAAACTGACTTCATAGTTTGTTACTTAGTGACGAATTGTTGCCTTTGACAATGATTCAACACTCCAAGTTAGAATAGGTTTTTTATAATATTTTACTAAATACCTTGAAACTGGGTACACGCGTTATCAGAACTATAATGAATTTACATGAGTATTGCCGACGTATTTATGCTACTCTTTAACTTGATGTTAGCAGGTACAGCCTGCATGCAATATTTTAATGTTTTGTCACAACCGGAAAAGTCATAATTAAGTTATGCTTCATATTCATTTACCCTAACAAATTTTTCTCCTTCGACATTTGCATCGACTTTCTTTTTAGGCGGACTTACGGAATTACGATACAAATATAGTACAAATATTTCTAATGAAGAAATCAAGCTCTTGGGCAATAATAAGAAGAAATTATGTAATTTTCATGCAGGAAACAAAATTATTTACTTTTTAACGTTCCTTAATGTCGAGCTTTATTTGGAAACCAAATTCAACTTTCGGTGTAAACTGTATACTATTGTTACGAAGATCAGATATGTAAAGATTAATTGCGAATTCATGATGCTCTATCGACGCAGATGGCGATTGCCGAAATTAACACGTAAACGGGATCAATAGAAAAATGTCACCATGAAATTTGCTGACTCCTTTTTAAACATAAATTTTAAAAAAAATTGTAAATAAATGATTTGCAAATGTAGCTTCTAAAGTGTAAACAATCTATTACCGCTAAAACCCCAGGTAAGTGGTGCGAACCTTAATCTCAGAAACTTTCAAATAAAAACCTAAAATCGCAAAAAGGCACAGTATAAATCGGTTTAAATCATATTTTGTATAAGTTTGCGGTGATAGTATTAAACAAATAGGATGTTGACCATAATTTTCATTTTTTCTCTATGTATATTCGAAAAAGCGAAGTTTGAAGCTAAAGCTAAGATATATTAAGAAAATTTTGTAGTCCCAGACAGAGAAGCGCGGAATATTGGCGATTTTTTATAAAATCTAGGTGGACACACAATAACATTACCAATCATTTCACTCACAAGAGTGAAAACAGTTGGTTTCTGTAGACAAGGTTTTGAGGTCGTAGTCATAATTTAGTGTTTTCACTGTTCGGCTTCATCAAAAATATGTATATTTCGTTGTGTTGTAAATATCCAACAAATTTTACATATTTCCGGTCGTGGGTATAATAAAGGATTAATTGGAGATGTCAGGGAATGAAAGCTACCAAACAATCATTGAAAGAGAATGCGAAAATTCCTTCATGTAAAAAAAGACAAAGTTTTATTTTTATTTATTTATTTATTTATTTTTTTTTTTTGTTTAATAGAACAAAGTTTTGCTCTCCTTAAATAATTAGCAGCTCTTCGTTTATTTTTACAGTTAAGGTAAATATAACGTAAGCAATCGCCAATAGGTTCTTATCAGATTATCGTTGAATGCCAATTATTTTGAAAGCTCTCTACAATTACTCAGTATTGGTTTGTTCCATGCAGTGGAAGAATGTCCTACGGTACTTCATTGAACTATATTTCGTTGTTAAAGTATTGGTTGTTTGAAGTTTTAAATAATTGGTGGATTTCATAGATTCCTCTTTTTTATTACAAACGCTGATATGCATGTTTCCCTCTATTCGGTATGGTATGTCATGAGCTGGCTTGCAATTGGTTTGGAAAATTTACCAATCAGATATACGGTATTGTTGATTGGTTAAATGGCGTGCAAGAGAAGACAAATTGCTTTTGCAGAATGTAACAATTTCGCTGTATGTAGACGGGATGTAATATTGATAATATATATACGTCTACGAATACAATGTACGGCCGCTGAATGCACTAAAAATAAGCTTTTTCGAATTAGTTGCTATATGTGTTTTATTGTAAATGTAATTGACAGTGGGCAAGTGTCGGTTAAATTTCGTTTTCGTCGTCGTATTTAAAAACGAGGCCTTAAAGAAAACAATACCGCACAATAATAAAGGACTGTGTTAAGGAATATTATTTTCTTGTTTATTGGGTGGATGTGTATGTGTTTTGCAAATATATAAAACAGAAAACTTATAAAATTCTACATTTACTTGTACTATTATTGGTTGGCGATGACGTTCAAAACTCTCGATTGCATTATTTATTTCTTTGATTTTTTTCTTCTTCTTTCCCTCGATTTTTTAATTGTTGTTAAACGGCTTAATAAGGATAATAGTTTTAAAAATAAGAAGTAAGTGTTACTTGGCAAGAGTTTGCGGTTCACACTTCATTTTCTTCTAAATTTTCACATGTGTCTACATATATCTAAGCACTCCACGTATGCGTTGACTTTATTTAAACCTAACAGCATACAGTCGCAGCACATTTGGTCTGTGGTATTGGTCGAACTAGTTACTGCTTGCTTCAGGTGCTGTGGTTTTTCTTAATGATCGTCAGTCGCAGTTGAATACTGTTGCCCATCAGTTGGTGCGCGTGTGTGCACCTCTATGAGTTTTTAATTATGTGTGTGTAAGTAAGCGCGCATATACATATGTGTCGTTGCAGTAAAAGTCCGTTCCGAATTAACCCAAAAACGTTAAGGTGACAAACATAAATAGTTGAATTAAAAAAAGGATCAAAATGAAAATCAAATTACTTTAAAGCATATTTTAAGCAATATATAACAAAATAAATAAAGAAAACCATTTGTGAGTGAAAAGTAAATTTGGTTTATATTGAGGCGATTATGGCGACAAATATTTCAGTGGCTTTACGGTTTAGTATTTGCAATCACCTATGCGTAAGCACATAAACGCAAGTCAGTCAACTAACAACAAACAAAAAACATACTATTTTATTGATATGTTTAATTTTTAATCAACGGACAACAATATTGGAACCCTACGGGAACCATGGTAGAAATTCATTCAATCTGCTTTCACAACAGATATGACAAAGAAATGGATGTTTATAGTAAACATTCATTATCAGGCGAATTGAAATCAAAGGTATAGATCAATTTTAGATCTGCCTAGCTGATTAACTGTTAACAGTCATGCATATTGTATTGTATTACATAAGTCCAGTTTTTAGTTTTAGAGAAATCTCTAAAATTAGAATTTTTTATTTCATAACATCTTCACCTATTATCGTCTCACGTAAACTATGTGTTCGACGGAAAAAGGTGGCATTTTAACACCTCGCATTAACTTATTGCATCATTTATTCGATGAATCAATGTTGCAGACAATATTGTTCTTAGTCAACAACGAAGACAAGGTTATTACAAATCGTTGACCTGGGTTTGCCAAAGTAGCTAAGTATTTTTGATTCAGTGCAGACTTTCTAATAGAATAATTCAGATACTCAGAACACAATTATTGTGGCATATACATAATTAAAAGTATTCACAATATCGCATTTACTGGACTTTAATATATGTGCAGAGTATGGGAACAGAAGTAAAAAGAATAAACTAACTTCTACGAAATGATACAATAGTATAGGTAAGAATATGTAACAGTACATAATAATATAATATATATATATATATATTACGCTTAGTTTGAAAAAATACTAACGTACAGGATAATTATAAGATAAGGAAGCGTTAGTTTACAGTTCTGTACCAAACATCGAAACACGAAAACGAAATTTCGATTATATCGAGCATATTCAGAGGTAAACCCCAATAGCCTTACTGTTTTGATAGAAAGTGCATAAAAATGGTACACGTCTAATATTTTTTAGGTTTTTGCGAGCATGGCCATGAAAAAATGATTGCCCAGGTTAAACTGGCGTAAATAATTATAATTTCATCACGTACGTAGGGCGCATAGATAGCGGGGCAGGGGTGGCTTAATCGTTTCTTCTGTTCATGCTGTTGATGATTGGGCATACTCTTCTATTATATATATATCAAGACGGAGAAATCTACAAATGTTTTATATTGAAAGAAAGAGAATACTGTCAGATAAGAGCATAATTTAATCTGTCATCGATACTAGCTTAGGGACAGCTTTTCTGCGTGGGTGCGTACAACGCTATGCAAATATACATAACACATGTAGAAATTTAGAGAAAAGTTATATCAGACATGTAAAAATCTCGCTAACGAAATATTCTGTCATAGAATTCTGCAAAATATGATGCGACTTAATACAAAGTAGCTATAACCAACCCTATGGTTGTCATAATGTTTTCGCAGGTTCCAAATGCTTTTCTAGCGCACATACGAATGCACGTACGCCTATTTATGTGCATGTTTACAGATTAATAAAGTGTAGGACTAGGATTAAACATGTTTTCATTATAAAATAAACGTCAATAATTTTAAAAATGACTACCATTTTTACGTATATCAAAGATAATATATCACAATTTCCGATAAAAAATGTGCAAAAGTTAAGAATTAAGCGACAATGCAGAAAGGACAAGTAGAACGCTGCACGTGTCGGCCCACTTGATGCTAACACGATAATAACTACGTGAACGTCTTCTTAAGAACGTCTGAAGCCACGTAGGTTTTCACTTGCGCTTTCACTTTGTTTTGATTCGAAACATAATTATTGAATGTCGCAATATGTACGTCGCAATGCAGTTTTAATTTAGGTCGAAAGTCTACATGTTTTGAATAGCAGTGGTTAGCATAGCATAAATGTTGAAGTTTTTCATAAATTTTTATCCACAATTATAATAACAAACAGACGTTAATCCATACACATTTAATAAATAGGCCTAGGGTTATGTTAATTGCATATATCTTACTGGTAGATGTTACACAGAAATATACATCCAGAACCCCACGATGTTCGTTTTTGCTTAATAAGAATGGGATTCCAACTAGCTATTTATCTTTAAACTGCCTTAGGTCTTAGGACTTAGTAGAATTATTATCTTTAAATTGACTTTTTTTTATGAAAGGTCTTTCTCAGCTGAAGTTTTTCACAAAGATAAAAAAATTTGCTTTAATTCGAAAGAGTCTAAAACTACAAAAAAAATTTTTGATTCTTAAACAATTGTTAGTGCTTCGCACCACTGAACCGACGGACATAAAACTAAATTTATATTCATTTTGCCCCGAAATGTTAATCAGTTTTTATATCGGGAAAATTTAATTACTTTTCAGTCAACACCGTTTTGAATCAGTTCCGAATTGCATTGTCATTTAGAACCAATACTTCTAGTTCTATTTGAGTGACTAAACCTAAGATCCTTTTGTAAAGCTAAAAGCAAAGTAAACGTCACTTCAAGATATTGAGAAAAAAATTTATAATGATTGAATTGGCTTGTATTGAATTAAATTGAAGTGTATTGAATGACATCGATTTAAAAAAAATTGAATTGAACTGACTTGATGTCTGTCTGGGTTGAAGTGAATTAAATAAACCATAAGAAGTACACGCTTGTAATGTCAGAATGTCACTTTTAAAATTCTATACTTGCAAATCCACAATACAAGAAATTTTCACATTGAACCATTGAAGCTGCTATTAGCTTCAATCTATCGATTACGTTATATTTTAATGATTTTGAATAACGATAACATCGTTAAAAGATTGGAAACTACGCTGAGCATAAAAATAAAACAACAAAAGACAACTACAACAACACAATTGTAACTATAAAATCGATTAGGGCAATATAAAGCCCTAAGGAAAAACGACAACTATAGTAACAAATTATTATAACATAATAACGTTGATTTGAATTAAGTAAACGAAATATAGGCGCAAAAATTATGTCGGATGCACAAATGATAAAAAAAAATTTGCAATAAGAATATGGGATAGTTTCAGTAAAACTAATTGTAAGTTTTACTCTATTTATGTACAGCATCGTACATCCACACTAATTTTTTGTATTTAGTTTCTATGCCAAACTTTTTCACAGAATTAAGATTCCAGGACATTTCTTTTCTTTACTTCTATATATATATACCCAGTGGGCAGTGGGCCTATTATCATTATTAATATAAAGATCAGATAATAAACGTAAATATTCGATTAACGTGAATATCAAAAGCATTTCTGGCCGTTTTCATTCATTACAGTAGTCTTAAGAGTTTCTCTTTTGATTGCCGACAAAAGACAAGTTAGGGCAACAGCCATAAATGGCAACAATCTGGCATTTTTGACTTTTTCTGATATTTTGGTCACGAAATGTTACTTAAATCGCTAGAACTTCGGGTTAAGCCTGTGCTTACAACAATCTTCGTTCAAAAAATGAAAACCGGTTAAATTGACACATGAGTTCCCCCACTAAAAAACCTTAGTAGATAAAACTGTAGTAAAATAAGGCGCACTATTCCTATGAACTTCTTCAATTAATGTTTCAGAAAAAAAAGTTTACACACTGAATGAATTCATATGAAGCTTGTTGTGGATGCAATGATTGTTTAGAATACATTGTCATAGATTTATACAATTATTAAACAAATTTACATAATTTATGCGTACATAATGGCAGATATAACATAATGTAATTATTAGAAACGTTTCCGTTTCAAATGAGTTGATAGCTGCTATTAAACATTTGAGTGTAGTCTATATATATATAGTTTATATCTTATTAGAATATAAAAACCAAAACCTCCGAGCAAAACTTTAATTATCAATTTTTGTGGCTTCCAAGTAAGTTGTTTTTTAGCGGACGGACGCGGTGTTTAATTCGCGCGATATGCAAGCTGTTTGATATACTATCTTTCTTAAAAAATTTCTAAATAATAATATTAATATTTTGTCACGGAGGCGAGGTAAAAAATGATTCGCAAAATGACTTTGTTATCTAGGTTAAGAGTGAAAGCAAACAATAGATTCATTGTTTATTAACTAACCCCACGTATATTTACATTCAACATCGTACGTTCGTTTGTAAGTTGTTATTTTTTGACTCATCATTTTTTTCTTTCTTATTTTTCTTCAAAGAATGAAAGCTATTGTTTCAAAATATTATATAAAAGCTGACGACTATACAGCGTCGAAACGTTTAGACGAAGCATTAGTATCTTAGACTATAAGGAAGACGAAATAGTGGGCATGGTGGAAATTTAGCCTTTATTTATTCATTGTTTTTATATTATTGAAAGCTATTCATAATTACGTGATCATGTTAATCCTCTCATATTGTTGCCCGCGCACATAAGAGTATTACCTTTCTATTTCTATTCTTTTCGCGTATTATTTGTATTTTTGACATTTGAACAGCATTGTTTGCTGCATTCAAACAGCATTTATAAATAACGTTGCCTGGACTTTCGGGCCCGCACGATATCGTGCCGGCAGTCTCCAGGGCAACAAATCGACTTCAAGAGTCATCTTTTTCTTTTTTTATTTTATCGTCCTTTATTTTTCATAAGTTCAATATTGGAATATAATTGAGAGTGTGAAAAACAACCAGGGCTGCAGGTGCATATGCGTGAACACCTTTACATAGTTTTCCAAGCCACAAAAAAATAAAACAAATAAATAAAACGGCACGACCAAAAAGAAAAAAAAAATTAGGTTAAAATTACACTTTTTGTGAGATTTTATTTAAGCGAACTGGAAGGTGGAAAATAAATTCGTTCACAATTTTAATATATCAGAAATTGCATGTTTCTAAACGTCCTAACCGTCAATGAATATAACAACAACAAAACACAGCAGCAAAAAATTGTTGGACATAAAATTTATTTTCCGCTCTTTACTTTATACAAATTAAAGCTCATTTTAAAAAATTTTCTAAAATAATTTAGTTTTCAGTCAATTATAGGGTGCTTTTTACTCCCCAAGGCTTTTCATTTAATGTCCATTCTAAGGAATTGTTGAGAAAAAATAAGCCACCCTCTCGAATGTGCAAGCTTCGACATGATCTGACATACAGAAGTGCCCGAAACATCGATTGACAGTTTCTTTTTTGACGTAACTTGCCGCGTCCGTCGTTTTGTGTATACAGCAAAATTGACGATTACATTCTGTCGTGGAACTAAAGACATGTACAACATTTCTTCGTGATCGGGCGTACTGACCTGCGAAATATCACGATTTGAAATTTTCACAATGATCTGAAAGCAGCTAAATAAAAATAATATTAAGAAATGTGTAGCTCAAAGTCTGCCTTCTTATTGCGCAGCTAAATGCGGTAATTCAACTTTGTGGTTAATGTGCCAAGATATTTGCCAAACAACAGTGTGCATCATTGTTGAACGACACTCACCTAATACAAAAGAGGGGAAAAGAAAAGGCAAAGTGTGCAAAGTGCAGAAAAACCTGATGCATAGACTTGAAGTTTCACGTTGGAAGATGTGTAGTTAAACAGGTGCCTCGTAGCAGAACCAACGCGACAGCGTAGAGTGAACTTTGTGTAGATTGTGTTTATGCTTTATTTGTTTCTTGTTAACTTTGTCTTCAACATATAACATCAATCGAACATATTACCAAAGGCAAAATATCTAATTGGCTTGCTGAATGGTTGATTTGCGATATACAATATGCTAAACTAAAGTTGCAACCGGAGCGTTTGCGCTGAAGGGAATTGGTGACATTCCAACGTAAGCACCTACGTATATGCAGCGTTTGCTTCAAATATGTTAAGACAATGCTTTTTGGTCGCATTTTTGTGAGCGCTTCTTCTTCTTCGTTTTCGCAGTTTTCTGCATGTACATATGTTTTTCCTTGCACTCTTGTCATCCCCACGTAGCTTTATTGTGGTTTTAAAAATGTATTCTGTGGCTCTGAAATTGCTTTGAAAGCCTTACGTGGTTTATAAAAATTTTGGCTTTCTCCTAAGCTAGTTTTTAATTCATAACAGGTTAGTTTTCTACTTATACATTCTCTTTATTACGTAATAAATAAGTTATATATAACAAATACATAAAAACTAATGCATAAAAACTTTTGTTGTTGAAATATCACTTTCATTTGCCATAATAGATAGATAAAAAATCATTATATCGGATGGAGAAGTGAGCATAATGCGTTATTACAATTCACCACCTACCAAAGTGTTTTGAATCATTTGCACAACTTCACACCAAGATTCGACCTGTTGTGCTTAAAAAAAACTTTATTCATTATATTTATATAAAAAAGCAGTTTGCAATATTCGTAAAATAATATGTACAAACCAATGCAAACTTTCTCAAGAGGTTATTCCACTCACTATATTTTGAAATTGCCGTAGCCAACAATACGTCACTAAGTAGCCAATATTAAACAATTCCCTTGGTCAAACAATTAAGAGGAAAAAGAAAATCTGTCCATAGAGATGTTGACAACAGGTAAAACGTTGAAGAAGCCTACAAAATTCCAAAATATGTTTTTATATTCGTAGATATGACGTTTGAATTACGTATTGGAAAGTTTTTGAAAACCGTATATGGTTTGAAATCATTCGTAATAATATTTAATTTTTATTATTATTTTTCGGAAAATTCTATTGTTACCATTAATCATTTTTAGATAGGTTTAAAAATTGAGTTGTTTATAACGTTAGGAAAACCAATCCGATTATTTTCCAGTTCATATATAATGGACTGCACCAAGTAGCCCAACAGATCTTCATGCTTTAGTTGTAAATAGTGATGTGGGCGAACAAAAACCATGGTATACTTTTCAAAGGAGTGAAGCTAAATTAGGCGCGTCTCTGTTAAGGCTTTACATTACAAGACCTGGAAGTATAACACATACATATAGGGTCACAAATGTATTTATAGATTTTAAATATAGATTATAGATTAAAGTTAAATGCACAATTGATGAATAGAAGGAATGCATTCATGCAAAGAAAAGTGATGCATTAACTATTAGTTCGATGTTTAATCAGTATATAAAGACGTGTGTGTTTGTTAAGTGTGTAACATATAAATGCTTTTTTATGTCGATTTTTTTACTTCGGTCTATCCATCTATTGATATGCTTGTTAGCTTGTCCCCTCGTCCTATTTTCGCTCCTTATCGCCCTCATACGCAATTCCTGACTTCAGATCTGGTAATGTTTCTAGAAGGCCGGGTTATGTTATATACCTATCCTAATATGTATTCGTATTTGGAATAATATTTGTAAATAGTTAAAATTTCAAAGATGAACCATACTTTTTTTTTTTTTGTTTTCAAGAAGCAATTATCTGGTTAAGCAGATTTAGGAACCAGCTTTTTTTGATGTAACCAAGAATGTACACTCATTACGATTAACATATTAATAACATACAAACAAACAAATAAACAATAAATAAGGAGAAAGAGAACTCAATACTTCTACTATAGAAAAAACACACTTACTCAATATCGAACTAGCTGACGCAATCAGTGCATAGATTTACGTATGCTTGATCTTCTTTACGTCTGCGTAAACAATCATGGACATGTTTGCGTACTCACTACATTCGCGTGTTGCACTATCCGTTGTGTGCGCGTGCATCTAGAAAAATTTCGAAAGAGTTTTTGTAGATACGGTGAAACAGGTTGTTGCGTTTTCCGCTTGTATTGGCAATGTTTGTGAAATTAATGCTTCTTTATCGTTCTTTTGAAATATATAGACATATAGCAATTATTTCGCTGATTTTGTAGTGTTCATTCTAAGCAAGTCTTTCATCCTCCAGCGCAACGTATATATCTTGACGGTAAAACAATTATTACTTCCTTTGCTACGCTTTGCCAACTGAAGTTTTTAACATACGTTAAAGTTAAATTACACACAAGACTTTCAAACGTATAGCTGATCTTAAATGTCTTGTTAATTACTCTTTAGTTGTTTTTCTTATTTTTCAATGTAACCTTTAAATGATGAGTGAAAAAGAGTCGCCTAGAGACGAGCATTTAGCCCTCTTTTATTCTTATTAACGTTATTATTATTAGCGTAACTGGTGTTGATCATAAGGACTAATGTAGTTTGTTCTTCTTGCTTATTTTTCTCATATTACGACTTTACACGTATGCTTTGTTGGACTAAAAACATTTCAAAATCGTTTTTCTTAAGCGACTTCCGATTGCACTTGTTTCAAGCTTGTCTACAATACATATATTACAAAAGGCAGCTAGCCGGTCGTTCACTCGAAACCAAAATTTATAGGCATGCATCTTACTTTAAAACATGCGAATATTATGTTCAATCCAGGTGAAATGCCATATTTTCAAACAAATATAATGCTCTTGTGTAGGTTACTTTTTAATCATAAAGAATAGTAAATAAGCTACCAGCGGCATAGCAATACTCTCATATTTATGAGAAACTGAATTGCAAGCATTTTAAAAAAATATCGCAATTGGAACTCAGATATAATTGAAAGGTTTTTAAAACTTAGAAAGTCTCTGAACGCATTTACTATTATGTATATAAACTTTCTCAATTTCAACTATTTTAATTTTTCAGTGTCACGCTGTTGTGCATTTTTTGTGGCAAGCTTCACCTAAGGTTTCGCAAGAAAAGTTGCGCCGCACATTTATGAACTCTTGATTTGCAATCAATAGAATTGCTTTACCATCAATAGAGCGAGATAAAAATTTTTTGATGATGATATGGCGTTTTTAAAAGTTGTCTTTACCCTAAAGATGTTTGGTATAACCAATGAGTGCAAAATAAACCTTCATTTATTTTGAATGATTCTGCTTCAAAGCCATGTAAGGTATCGCCAAGATTTTGTCATCAAAGAATACAAGAATTCAGCCTGCAGGATGCTACGAAAACAACAAGGTAATCAAAAGTTTATTAAACCTTGACTTTCTTAAGGCGAGCAAATAACTCAAAAAATCTTAACTTAGGCTGTCGAATAAAAACGAAAGGGGAACGACGAATCGTTCCTGGAAGCAGAATGAATATGAAAACCAGTCAGATTTTTAAGGTGTTTCACACAGAGTAAGTTAATTGAAAATTACTGCGTTCTAAAGTTTCTGTTGGCAATAAGATTAAAATCCAAACAAAAGCTGAAAATTAATAAAAATGTGCAGCAGCACATCACCGAAGTGCTTTCGTCAAAAGCGGCCCATGCAACCGCGAGTTGGAGAAACATCAAAATGAGAGGAAGAAATTTATTTATAAAGTCGGTTTGCGATAAGTTTATGATATTTGTATTGGCTACAATGTTAAATACTTAAAACCTCAAGCAGCATGCATCATACTTTGCCACCTAGTACTTTTGTGAAATAAAGAATTGATCTCTTCGCTTAACCTGCCTAGCCGCATGACAAAAGACATGCGTAGTCAAGTAAAAATATAGTGCTGAAATAAACCAGGAGCACGTGTTCGCGAAACTTTTCCCGTACGGCTTTTCGCGTACCATTACTACATCACCAGTCGAAATTAAATAAAAAGCCCCAAAACATAGGTACGATGAACGAGTAATGGTGTGAAACGGCTTCAAACTTTGAGAGAGCATTATTTCAAAATATCACGATAGCAATACCGATTGGATTTCAATATTGCTAAATTCACGTGTACTTGGCAAAATAAACAAAACGGAGGCTTCCATTTGAAAATTTTATTAAGCGTAACAAGTTTAACAGCTCCGATAAAGTGTTTCTTTAACATTAATTTTGTTGTTGTTGTATTCAGTTATTGTTAGCAAACTATAGTACGGTGGTTTTGTCCGTATTGTAAATTTCGCAACATAGAGTTTTATTAACCCTTATACCACCAAAAAAAAATAAATAAAAAATGACAAGCAATATTTATTATTTCTTTATTATTTGCCTCCCAAAGCCGTAATGCCTAAACGTTTGTTAAGGCCGTTCACATGCGAAATCAGCAATGTTTCTATTCGCAATGCTTCTATTCGCTTTTACTGTTTGCTCATGTTCATTACACTTCGTATTAAATTAGTAAACAGTGACGAAGCTAAATCATGGCTCTAGGACGAACAGGACATGCAACCCATGAAAATATGTTTGTTATCTACTAATGGTGATCATAATTAACGTATGTAAATATGTTTGTACAATAAAAGATTTTATTTTAGAAACATTAAATATCTATTTAACTTTAAGAATGTGTGTTTTCCTTTCTGGTTTATTTTTCGCAATATGGAAAGACTCGCAAACCGTAGTGTTTGAATAATATATTTAAATCTAGCCCACTACCCGACACATCTTCGCACTATGGTTTTTATGAGGGTCAACTTGACTTTCTAATTCAAATACACTAAAAAATATATGTATCGATACTAGCAGAATAATTGTACTGGCTGAAATGAAACAGAATTTTTCAAAATCTGCCTTTTTTTATAAATTCGAAATTATATTTTGTTACATATTACTGCATTTTTAAAGATGATTGAAAATTTCACACACTATGCTGAATGCTAAATTCAAGGATATGTTGCTAAATACACATTAATCCAGCCTGTGTATAAAAGAAGCAAACGGGACATTATCAATTTCAACTAAATGGCAATCGGATTTGAAGAAGTCGATATATTTCGTTGCAGGTGAAAGCATGTTCCCATGACTCATATCAACTCAGCCACCCATTCACAGATGACGCCCTTGAATGTGCTAAACGTTGGTTTTCCCAGCAGAATAAGTGTTGGTAGGGATATACTATTATGGCTTTTTAACATTTTTGGTTGTACATATCACGTACTGGTGATGGTATCTATCGTTTGTTTAAAAAATAAATAAGTTGCACCTGTCAAAATACCAGGTGTTAGGCCCCATTATCGTTTCGTCCATTTGAAATAAGCTCTCATTCAAAGGAAGATTCATCAATGCTTGCAAATTTATATCAAAATTCAGTGGCTAATAAAAGCTAATATTCCGATTAAAATATCTCATACTATATTTTTAATCCAACCTTTTAATCCAACCTTTCTGCAAACTAGCTTAAAATTTAATTGTGATCTCATTACATTTCCACAAACTTCTGGTGCTGAAGGCGAAGCCTTATTTCGATAGTGGTGTTAAAAGTAATCACGGTACCCCATTAGAGAAGATATTTTTTTTTAAGTTTTTATAACAATATTAATTAAATTAATATGATTTCAAATAATTTCTATTTTATTTGGTGTTGTAAATCAGTCTACACATGACACTAGACTACGGTGTCAACTGAAGCGTTTTTTTTCTTAATTCGCCGACTAAATTACTTAAGATATTTAAGATATATTGCAAGTCAAACATAAAGTTTGACATACTTCCAACTTTGGATTGTTCAATAAAAAAGCGAAACAGAAATAAACGATAACTTGTGACATGTGTTAAACATATGGAGGGCGTATGTGAACAATTTTAGCGCAACGTAATACATATTGATATTTTGTTGCTAAATGTGCGGTTTTGAACATATTAGCTTTTTAGTGTCGGCCAGACGTGGCTTCTAATGGAAGATTTGGCGACTTTTCGCATTGTTCAGTGCTTTACTTAAGAAATTCATAAGAAAACGTGGACTTCTTTGAGAGACATGAAAAAGTTAGTGGAAATATATGTGATTTCAGTTTCAAATGAATCTTGCTCGTTTCCAGCACGAAACTGAATGTAATAAGAGTTTATATCTACTCCATATTTCAGATGTTTGTTCCATTTTTAAGCGTTTGTTAGCGTATTGATGAGAGGCCAAAAAAGTGACAAAAAGAAAGAATTCACACGAGATAAAGACGATGGATCTGCGTTGTTTTTATCACTGACATCTAAAAGTTTAAAAATTTTTGCAATCTTCCTAATTTTTTGCTCTTCTTGTAATACTTCATGTTCGGTAAAAGCGAAAAAAGTTTACAGCGGTTTAATGTTTTATTGTCACATTTTATTCAGTAGTATTGATTTTCGTTTTAATATGTCCCCGTTCACGTTATGTAGTTAGTTTTTTTTTACGCGTCAGGTCACCGCACGCAATATATATATATTCTTAGACAACGTTCGCGACAAAGTTAAATTTCGTATAATCGCCCCGATGATCGAAAAACTGAAGGTGGATAACCTCTGTAATATTCTAAAGTGCCTAAGACAGGCAAATGCAACGAATAAAAACGTCTTGGTGATTAGCGCAAATTATAAATCACATGCGATAATCTGTAGTCGGATTGTGGTGTATTTTGGACTATAGCTTGAAAAGTTAGATTTATTAAACGTGTGGTTTTAACGTACTGTGAAGTTGGATAAGGAATCGAGTTGTTGGAATCTAAATTTCGTGATCAGTGCCTTTAAATAAAAGGCATATAAAGTGCTTGAGAAAAGGTGTTTCTTTTATCTAGATAGGAGATACTTAATTTATTTTATACTTATTTAAAATACTATATATATATTTATTTAATTCCTTGTAAGGAATAGTGCAGCTCTTTGCCATCCGCCATAATTGGAAGAACTAAAGTTCATCATTAGAAAAAAAGTATATGATGTGTCTATCGCTTTGAATGTGGTACTACACTTTCATTACGCGAAGTAACTTTGTCCTGGTAAACATTACATTATATTACATTATCCATCTATGTCATATAAAGATAAGCTTTAAAAGAGATACGAAATTTGCGAATTATGGAAGAGTTCGCAAATTTTGTGTCCGCGTCTAACCTGAAATTCTGTTCTCTATACCTCTCATTCTATTTACATATATGACACACTGTTTAATAATAAATCTCAATTATTTTATATTTCCAATAATAGCGAATATATTAAACGAGAGATACTTCATTCGTTTTATGTCAAACTGTATCTGCCGTTATTGCTGCAATTTCATATTTCATTTTTGTTATCTTACTATTAACTTAGATTTATATATTATTTCCTACTTTTTCTTCAGTGCAAGTTGGTTAAAGTCTAGCATGTTGAAATTATCCTATTTTCAATTTCTTTGTTTTCTATCTATTTCTTTCTAAGGAGTTTGTTTTACGGCAATAACGGAAATTCTTATTATATTCACAATCAAGTAAAAGGATTTTCAACCTCAGCGTGTTGCTGGTTCGAAAAGCTTTTTAGAATCGTTTAACTTACGTAAAAATGTTTTTTTTTAATCTTTATTGGTCTATCACCAAAATGCTGAGTTGTGTCGAATTCAGCATTTGATTTTTATAAACGCAACTTATCGTTGCAAACAAATTCATGGCCGACATATATAGATAGGATGCACTGAACTAAAAGTGTCAAGAAAGGCTTTAAACTGCTATCATTTATACTTACTTTACGTAGGTAATATTAACATTACCTAGTGGACATTTTAAATATTTACCTGTTTTTGTCTGTCATGGAAACAGTTTAAGATAGTATTTCAATCGTATTACAGTCTCCTATTCAGAGTCTCTAGACATGATGTACATTATGGACATCTTCTACTGAAAATTATCGTCATATAATATATTTTACGACTATCTTTCACTGAAAGCCTTCTAAAGAGGAAGCCACAATATAGCTTACATATTCTTCTTATATTCAAGACAGGAAAACATGGGATTTCTTAATTTTTATGTTCACGGTGAGGAAGAACAACTAGTTGCTTAATATCTTACAGATACAGGAATACGTTAAAGCGGAGCAGGTATTGTGAGGCGAGTCAAAATATTTATATCTTAATGTATTACATGGGCCTATTTATGGAATAGATCATAAACGAAACAATGTTATAGACCTTATAATAAGAAACTATATTTCTCCTAGGGAATACATACACAATGTCCAAATAAAAATACATACATTGTCCATCAACTTACAATTTTGAATCGATTAAATTACCTTCTTTGAAAAACACGTTGTTTTTTTTGTTGAAAAAGTCTGGAAAATCGAAATTTTTCTACACAATTAGGTATATCTGCGACAATCGAAAACCGTGCTTATGTTAAAAAACATTGCAATATTATAAAAAACTAAAGAATTATTTGTTTATTCATTTACTTATGAATAACGACACTTTCATTTTATTGAAGTTGATGGAACTTGTTCCGCTCATATGTCCTAACGCCTCCAAGAATTCAACTGCAAGCAAATAAAGTAATAAAAGGAAAACTATTTCACTTAGTGGAGATTATAGAGAAGTTGTAGAAATTCCATTGAGTGTATATATTTTCATCGTCTTCAAATTCTAAATTAATGTAAGCCGCCTGTTTGCCCCTGTGTTATAAACATTGCCCTGCTAGGGAAAATTCGAGCATCGTACTCAGATTTAGTAAAAACGTTGAAAGTTCTTGCATGCAGGTTAATATCGAAAATGGGTCAAATTTTATATAGGTCGGCCTGCAACATAAACATCTATGCAACAGAAATTGACAACACGGCAAGTTGACACCATCTTATTGTCGTTGCACTTAGGAGATAATTCCTGCAGGTCAATGTAGAGTTACAGCATACCTGCAAGAATTAAAAAAATTGTACCAATTTTTGTTTGCAACTTCGTAAACTTGAGCATGGCTTCCCTGGGGTACACTGGAACGTATTTTTATACAATGTAAAGTATAAGACTTATGCATTCTATGTTATACACGCTCTGCAACAAATACATAAATAACTTGATAAGTGTGCTAAGTTTAGCTATTCCCCCGGAATTCGCAGCGTTATTCTCCATGTTGTCCTTATAAAACTGCAAAATTAAAATGGATATATAATTAGCACCAAATACCTTAAACGTTATCTAAGTAGCTATAGCATCACTCCTTAAACTTACGATAGTATGAAAATCGAAATAATACAAGAGTCTTTCTAATAATACAAAAATTTATAAACAATTTACTGAAAGAGGAAAAACTATCGCAGAAGAATAAATGGGAACTAAGAAAAAATTAGTGAACGAAGAAGAAAACCGCAATTTATAATTAGATAAAGAATGTACCGGAAAAGGTATTAAATCAAAAAGTTTTCTTAGTAGATCGAAAATAAATTTGAAAGGATTTATCATAAAACGGAAAATTCTCTATGCGCACTTCCTAACAAAATGTTTCACGTTTA